ATGGCCTTTTGGATATGAAGATTTTGTAATTTCTCAGAGAGTAGTGGGAAAAATATGGTCATGTTATTGGAATGATTGTAAGCCAGCAATACCACGATTAAAAGAAAATGTTACATCAATAAAACCATCATTGTGTAATACATTTATGTCACCTATTAAACATGCATCAAATGAATGTATTGCCAGTTTAAATACACATTGTTCAGAAAATATTAATGATATAACTAGAAGTTCAAATGTAACAGATTCAAAATCTGATTTTACTGGCTCACATATTTCTACTTGTGATGATGGAAGCATAACACATATTAATAACAAAGAACAATGTAAAGATGATAAAAACATTTTACATAAAGAAATTACAACTAGTAATATATGTTTAAATAACAGCAATTTGCAATCAATCAATAATATCATCAAGAATACAAAAATTGAAAATGAACGTATAAATTTATTAAATAAACATATCAAAGAAAAAGATGGTACTTCTATGCAAAATATAAAAAATGGAAGTAATGTAAGAGGAATTCCTAAAATAACAAGTATTGAAAAAACAAATATTGATATTTCTAATGTTAAAATAGAAAATCAAATTTCTGTTTATCAAGATCCAGATAAAAAAAGTAGTAGCAAACCTACAAATAGTGCAAAAACAAAATTAATATCAGAAATTGAAAGATTACCAAATATAGGATCAACTAAAAATAATGAAACTATGCTAAAATCTAATTTAAACGTAACTATGATGGAAATAGATGGTTTGCCACCTATAACATTATCCTTTGAAATTCCAGTATGCACAGTAGCCTCTAAAACAGTAATATCCAATACACAACAGACTGATTACAAAAATAAGAATATAAAACAAAACAATCCAGAATTGAAAAATACATTTTTAAGAAGAAATATAAGTAGTGGTAAACAATATGAAAAGTTTAGTTTTAGTGCTATTAAGAAAAAAGTAGAATCGTGCAATTCTATTAATACAAATACTAATAATAACAATGTCTTCAATATTAAAACAAAAACAAAAATTGAGGATATAGAAAGTAATTTAACAAATAATGTTAAACAAAAAAATTGTAGTAAAAATTTTAACACTTCAAGTATTGAAAGTATTAATAATAATGATAAACAATCAATTCCAAACTTAAATTCTTGCATATCAAATCAACTTGATAATTCTATAACTATTTTATCAAATCAAGAAGATGCATCATCTGATACTTTAGCAGTTAATACTAGTGTAAATATAGATACGGTTTTAGAAGACTTTCTAACAAATGATTATAATGCTTCAGAAGATATAAATGATGAATGGATAAATTCTCTATTAAATTAACATTGATGTAAACTGTGATGTAAATCGTAATTATATATATGCATTACCATAACAGTATTATACAGTCTGGTCTGTGTTCCATTTAATAAAAAATTCTAACAATAATATATTTTTGAATATTATTAATGTAGAAATTAATTAAATTATTTTATATAAAA